CCCTCTGCAGCTTCCCTGGAGCCCCTTCAGCTTCTGGCAGGTTGCTCTCGAGTCTCCACATAACTTTCTCTTCTCCAGGCTGAACAGCCCCAACTCCCTCAGCCTGTCCTCATAGGGGAGATGCTCCAGTCCTCTTAGCAACTTTGTGGCCTCCTCTGGCCTTGCTCCAACAGCTCCATATCCTTCTTCACGTCCTCTAGCTGTATTTTCCTGATCCCATCTGAGCAAGGATTTAGGATGATTTTAGTGGTGATGAACCTGCCTCACCCCATTCCCCAGAGGTGGCTTGCTCCAACAGCTCCATATCCTTCTTCACGTCCTCTAGCTGTATTTTCCTGATCCCATCTGAGCAAGGATTTAGGATGATTTTAGTGGTGATGAACCTGCCTCACCCCATTTCCCAGAGGTCAATCATGGCCAGAGCTGCTGGGGCAGGTGGGGACGAGGCAGGGACGTTTCCCTGCTTGGCTACCTGAGATACATGGAATATATCAGACATTTTGTGTGAAATCCACACTGGGATTTCCTGGAAGTGGCAGCAGTGATAGTTGCTTCTTCCTAAGGAACAGCAGCAACTGGTGCACAGGGATGTAAACCTCGTGGCACTGTAATGAGTGAAGTCCGGCAGCTCTTTGTCAAGGACTGATGTGATGCTGCAGAGTAGTTTGGCACAGGAAGTGTGACAAGGAGGGGGAAGGAAAATGCTGTCTGGGATGAGCAGGGGCTGAGTTTGCTCCATTGCATGAACATCCTGAGGCAAGATGCAAAGGCAGAGGGTAGAATTGATGGTTCAAAGTCAAACACACCAGACGTGACTGAGTGGCACAGGATGTTCCCTGCAGGGATGGATTTGTTGGGAGAGCTCAGGCATGGATCATCATTGCTGTCCCAGTTGAAGGCTGTGCCTTGATCTCTGGTTCCAATTCCACTTTCACCTCCTGGAGTGCAGCTTGGAGGGATTTGGTGGGGAAGCATGTTCACTGCCTTGGACAGTCCCAGTGGCCTCATTTGCTGCATCAAGTGTTGGAGGTGGCTAAGCACTGGTTTTTTTCTTTTGAAGCTTTACTATGTTTCAGCAATTTGCTGCAGAAAACCTCTTTTTTCAATCAGGGGACTGAAGTTGGTGGGAGTAGAACTGTGGCAGGAACGTGGGACTGAGCCTGAGGCTTCAGTGCTCCCTAATCCCATCTGAGAATCCAGCCCAAAACATGATTTTTCTGCCTTTCATTGGGTGGTTTGTGCCTCAGTTTACCTGTACCGAGCCCTGTTGTCTTTCCTGGTGAATTAATCCATGGTGCATCCTCTCAAGGGAGGCTGCAAATGTGCATTTTGCTTCCCAACTTTATAAGGCAAGGGGAAGACAGAGATATCTGTGAGCACAGCTCCATCCCAGTGCAGTGAGGCACTGCCTCACTCTGTCAGGCTGCAGCAGCTCATGGGATGGAGCTGCATTTTGCTTGTTTATTTGTATTTTTTTTTACGTGGGGAGTTACACACCCACGAAGCCTGGAAATAGCTGGGCAGTGAGTCATGCTGGGGCTGGTTTAACTGGGTTGCTCTGGGAGGCAGCTGTGTTTGGCAGCTGGGGAAGGCTCTTCCAAAAGGTTCAGCTCCACGAGGGCAGAGGGTGTTTTCACTCCCTGGGTGTTTATTTTCCCTCGGAGCTTGGCCAGCCAGCACTGGTGTCTCACAGCTTGTTGCACATGGCTTTTGTGTTTGGAGCACAGCTGAACAACCAGGCCCTGGCATGAAGCTTGGGGAGAGGCTTTGTGTGTTTTCTGCAGCTTCAGATCCGAACTAATCTCTCTGCTCCTGTTTTAGGATCAGTACTCCCCAAGCCCTGCAATTGGTTTTAACTCAGCAGCATCCTAAATCCTGGGCAGCATTGTGCCCATGCTGAGGATCTCACCAGCTGGGGCAGCACAGAATGTGGCCTCATCCCCTGGTTCTTAGCAAACTCAGTGGGAGTCAGGGAGGGGATGGTGACATGGAGCTTGATGCCAAGGCTATAGGTCAGTGGTGGTTTGTGACCTGTGGTGCCCACACTGAGGTGTCTGTCTGTCTTTCATAGAACCATCAAGGTTGGAGGAGACCTCTGAGATCATCAAGTCCAACCATTAACCTGTCACTGCTGGAACCCCTAAACCCTAAACCACATCCAGACACCTCTTAACCACCTCCAGGGATGGTGACTCCACCACCTCCCTAGGCAATATTCCAATTTCTGAACACCCTCACAGGGAAAACATTTCTCCTAACATCTAATGTGAATCTTTCCCCAGAATGGCTGCAGTCTGTCCAAGCAATGATGATCCTCTCCATCATCTTCAGCGTGTTGTCCCTGTTCCTGTTCTTCTGCCAGCTGTTCACACTCACCAAGGGCGGGAGGTTCTACGTCACTGGAGTCTTCCAGATCCTTGCTGGTAAGTGGGGGCTGATGGATGGGGCTGTCACTGCTGGGGACAGGGCTGCCAAGCACAGGAGAGGGTGCTGGTGAGACTCAGCACACTCTTGGCTGCAGAAGCAGGAAGGGAACCAAGTTGTCTCCTGCACATCTCACTTCAGAGAAGAGAAGAGGGGATGAATAATCTGGGTCTGTCGAGGTCTTGCATGCCCTGGGATGAGATCCATCTGTCAGGGTGTCATTCCATTCAACATGGAAGGTGCAAGAGGGTTGCTGCCCCAGCTGGGAAGGTTTCAGAAGGGCAGGGTCCCACATCTGTCTGCCTGCCAGACCAAGGGCTCTGCCTGCTCTCCCCAAGGCTTGGAGTGAGACATCAACAGCCCAGGGTGGCTGTGCTGGCTCTGGGACCCACCTTTGCTGGTCTGGGTGAGGCTTCTGCATCTGCTGGTGAGGTGGGGGAAGTCCTCCCAATCCTGTTTTGGCAAAATAAGATCCAATGCTTGTTTATAAACTTGCCATGAGGGAGCCTGGTGCTTTCCACCCCAGCAAAGAGCCCTGGAGCTGCAGGGTGAACCAGCTGCCTTGGAACTGTCAGCTACTATTTTTAACTCTTGAAGAGCTCAGCGCTGGAAATGAGCTACAGTTCGTGTCCTGTGTTGCAGTTCCCCAAATATAGATGCCGTAAAGCCACTGGCTCTGTTTACATTTCCATGTATGAAACCAGTGGAGAGGATTTTCAAGTGTTCAGGATAGAAAATTTAGCTGAGCTTCGAGGTTCTGGCTGCAGTATGACAGTGTCTGGGAAAGAGACAAATTGTTTCCTAGAGCTTTAGATGTTAAATTAGAAGCCACCCTAGGTCCTGCCACTAAATCAGTGGAAAAACTGAGTTTAGACAAAGTTACTGAGCATCCTCTAAAGGTCTGGCCTTGACATACCCTGCAGAAGTTTAGAGCTAACCTTTATTGGCATGAAATCTATGAGAAGTGTATCTGCTTGGCCATAATGCAGGTGGTGAGTTCAGATCAGTTCATCATCTCTGGAAAGATAGATGTGTAGAAAGCCATTAGAGCCATGGAGACAAGGAGGGGAAATGGGCATTAATAATGCAATTCCCTGCCTGAGAGCTTGTCTGATAGACCTGGGAGCAGAAGGCTTCTCTCTCCTGAGTGACTGCTGGTGAATCCTCAGTGTCAGAGGAAGAGTAAATGGGATTGCAACCCTCCTGTCCATGATGTGCTGGGTGTCCTGAGGGGATGCAGGGTCAGGCCAGAAATCTACTGTCTCTTTCCTCGTTGAGCCTGATGTATGGGTCAAATCCATCCCCAGGACCAAAAGTGTGAAGCTTCCCCATGGCCTGGGGGACCTGTAGGCAGAGTCTGGATCTGGATGGGTCATGCAGAGGTGGCCACTGGTGGTCATCCTTGCTATTCTCCATGGCTAGGGCTGGGGAAGGCAGCTCAGGACAGCAGTGATCTTTGTGACCCTAAGTTTCAGGGTTGTTGGTAGGAAAGGGGCCATGGCTGTGCCAGTGCTGCCAGGAGATCCCACCTGGAAATACAGATGGCTCTGGTCATGGGAGCTCAACCTGATGTGCTGTCCTTGCAGCTTTCTGTGGAAGCCACTGATGTCTGAAGCTAAGACAGGAATTCCAGTGGCCTTCGGGCTTTGCAGATGTGCACCCAGGCTTTGCCAAGCCCTGGCACCACAGAGCCCTGCTGCAGGTCTGCCAGGGTCAGGGGCTTACCCACCTGGGTGCTTTGTTCTCAGCTGCAGCAGAGCTGGAGAGGACCTCCCTCTGGGTCTGTTGTGCAGTGACCAGGCAGGGTCATCCCCAGCAGCTCCTCCATCCACACTGCTTGGAATCACACCCCAAAGACTAGCTGGATTTGCCCTGGTGGGATTTCACCTGTCACAAGGGCATGAAAAGGCCCTTAACAACTCCCCTCCATCCTTTCTGGGTCCATCACACCCACAGGTAGCTCCTCATAGCTGTGTCATGCCAGCATGGGAGAAACATTGCTTTGGGCCTCTCATAGTTGGACCTGATTTCTCCCTCCCTCTCTCCAGCCTCAACATCACTTTTTTCCCATCCCTCCCACCCTAGAGCTGCTGTTCTGTGGGGTGAAAAGGGTGGGCTCAGCCTCCAGGGCTGTGCTTGCCATATCACCCACAACATCTTGCAAACACCTGGAACAGATTGCAGGAAGTGTTTGCCCTCCTGACCTACCAAGGCAAGACTAGGGGGTGTTCTTAAAACCAGACTGTCCCTCGATTCCCAGCGTGTTCTCCAGGCCCAAGCTAGTGCAGAAGCCAGAGCAGTCAC